TGTCTGTGTTGTAAATGACAATGTTTAAGTAAATGTTTCAGACAATATCTCCAGTTGAGTCTGGTAACTATGTCACAGATATGAACATTAGGCCAGGCACTTGTTCATAGTTTCTTAATGACTTTGCATGAGAGAAACCATGCCTATGGTCTAGATCTAAAAGACTAGTTTTACTAGAGGAAAATGTTGACTTCTGATGTCAGTGCATCTTAACACTGTGTCCTTCTTGCCCCTTAGTGCATATAGGTCTGATGAGTTAGACCCTCTCGTATGTATATGTTTTTATCCAATAATTATGAGAGATTTTCCCATCACCAAACAAGATTATATTTTTTATGGGCTATTCCATATTTCCTCTAGTGAAACAAACTTTACTAGAAATGATGGCACAGAAAATTTGGATACTTATGCTATTTAGTTCAGGGTGAATATATATATTTAGAGAGAGAGAGAGAGAGAGAGAGAGAGAGAGATGAATTAAAAGAAAAAATGTTTGACATAATTTGAATATGAAACTCAACAATAGTACACAATTTTCTGTTGTTTTCTTATTTATTTTTCTGTTTTTAAACTTTCCCAAGCCAGTTACCATTGCAGTAATCCATTGTAAAGCATGCAGGAAGAGAATGTTAGTATGTACCAAAATTGTCACAATGTGAACAAAACAAGGGTGTCTCCTAAAAGGCTTGCAAGTGAGGAATATTAAATGTGTGTGGGTTGCTTTTCATTTACTCTGAGTGTTTCAATTTTGGAGTTGGGTCTAGTGAAGAAGCAGTTGAAATATGGAGTCATCCAGCAGAGAAATTATAATTATTTCAAAATTTTAAGCTGTAAGTATATTGTACAGTACAACTGAAGTAAACATAATGATGTTGTATCCTACCATATGTGTTATATAAGATTAATTCAAAATAGAATAAAATCAATTGTTTTTTCATGAAAATTTCCTTAGGTAAGAAATGAGGGAAATATTTGATAAGAGTAGAAAAAACGCATTGATTTTAAAGATAGAAATAAATGTGATTTATAAAAATCAACAAAATCTAGAAAGAATAGTAACACCGTTTTTGTAGAAACATCAGAGGGAAAGATTCTCTGGAGAGAGAATGAAAGCACCAAAAAAATAATAAGCTTTCCCTAGAAATAATTGGAGTAATAAAACAAGAAAACTACATTCAGAAAAACACACAGTTCACACGTTGCGCTGTGGTTTTGGGAATTGAAATCTTGTCCCTGGGCAGAAATCTTTTATGTTCCAGTAATAAAGTTTTAGGCTTTGGGGCAAATTATAAAACTGATGGACATAAATCGGGCTGTTAGAATTAAATGCAGTCTGTCACAGGAATGATCCTTAAGCAAGTTACTAAGCTGTCAGCGACCAGCAAGCGTGGCAGGACGAGGCTGAGTGAAAGAGGAGGAGACTGATCCATTTGCAGTCTCTCATTTAGCTATTAGAATGCCTCCCTGGAGTGCACTGTGCTAGACCCTAATTAGGCACTGCTGATCAAAAGCCTTATTTTCTAATCTATCCTTCACTTTTTCCTATAATTCTGAAATACAATGTTACTAAAAATGAGCTACTATAATTTATGAGTGCAGAAAGGTAGGTATCATTAGGAAACAGTGTGGACATGTAACAAAGATGTCTAATGGGCTTTCAGAGACAGATGTCCGTTACTGCTTAGCTGTTGTCACTTCATCTCTTTATTTTGAAATCAAGATTATTAATATATGCCACCTTCCTAGCATTATTCTTTGAGGTCACTGAAATTAGCTTGTTGAGTATTTGTGGGCATCATTAGGAACGCAGAGCGTGAAAGCACAAGACTTACTCCACTGCTCACTCCATTATGTCCTGTGGAATTTATTGTTGCAATTACAGTTCAAAGCAATAGGGCATAGGAATTTGGACCACAGGACAAGTCTGCAATGTGACTTTATTTTGTGTGGTATACTTAATACAAGATTTTATTAAACTCTTTGAGAATTTGTCCCCTTAAGGGTTTAAGTTAAATAGCCTGGATTAGAAAACTGAAATTTTATAATAACAGCTGAAATTCTAGCTTTCTACTTTATTACACTAACATTGCACAAGGGATTCTAGAACAGTAGATGATTTTACATAAAATGAATTCAGTAATCATCTGAATTTTGCAGGTGCACATTTTTAGATTGGATCCCAAGCAACTCATGTTTTATCCCTTGTGTCTAGAACTATAATGTTTGGAGGGATTTTTAAAATTTAAATTTCAAGTATAAAGTCAGTTGTACATGAAATATTGGATAATGGTGTTATCACTTACAATGCTGAACACTATCCTTCAGAATAGAGGAAATACAGTTCTCAATTCCTATTTGGGGGCTTATATCATAATGTCTAAAACTCCTTTCCCTGAGACCATGTCACGTGGGCAAGCACAGGGTATGATCCCACAGAGAAACAGATATTCAGCTAAGCCAGAGGAGATGAAACAGTAAGTCACTGCATGTAGTCTAATTTCTTATTCATCAGTCAAGTCAGCTTGAAACCAAATATTTATTTACAGAACATATGAATATTAGAGTTGTGAATGCAAGACTTTTGATCTCTATTAATAAAATATGACAAAGTAAAACTATGTGAGTAGAAACAAATATCCTAGCATTTAAAGGCCATAGACCAAATGTTTGGATTCAAATCCTTTGGTAAGATTTTAAGTTCCCTCTTATCCTTTAGTTTTTTCTCTAAATAGCAGTGCCTGTGCTACAGAGTTTCATGCAACGCATTATGTTAATATTAATAAAATGATAAAATGCTTGGCATATAAATGTCTAAGTACTTTTACATAATGCCACCTATTGCACTTAATTTAGAATCAGAAAATAAGTACTGTAGACACATTTATTGCTCTGAAAACAAAAGTTGCGGCCCCTTTCCCTATGCATGCCTGCACATTAGTCCGTCGGGGTTTTCGCCTTATCCTTCCCCTTATCTGTGGCTCAGCCTGAAAAGAGACAGAAAACTCACCAAAGAAGCACTCACCACACTACTGCCAGAATTTTAGACTGAGGGAAAGATTACGCGATGGATTTAAATCATACCCTGGAAACGGGGTTATCAGGCTTCTTTAGAGAATTAGCAATCCCAGAAAAGGGCCTCCCTAGGAATAAGACAGTGGTATTTCACGAAGCAAGTCTCAGCCTAAGGCCACCGCGTGGAGCTCCGCGGATGGCGAGGTCTCCCCAATGGGTGGCTTACTTTCGTGTGCAAGTGGAGTGTACGCGGGTATGGGCTCCTTGTTCTTCTGAATTATCTCTTCTGGAGAAAACAAGCTACAGATTGGTTTGGAGTATAAAGGCAGGGATTGTGCGTTCCTTTGTCATGAGTTTCTCTTGCACTGTGGCGCTCGTGGGTCCTCACAGCACGTCAGCGTGGAGGCTGCGACTGCTCTTCCTCCCTCTCACCCGTGTTCTAGCGTGGGTATGGGTATAAGTGCACTGGTGGCACCGCTGATATAATTTTTTTCTTTTTTCTTTTTTTTTGGTATCGGGGATTGAACTCACAACCTTGTGCTTGCCAGGCAGGCGCTTAGGGTGTTGAGCTAAATCCCTGGCCAGCTGATACAATTTCAATTGATCTTCTAGAGGCATTTTAAAACCTAATTTTTGGAACTTGTAAAATCCATTTTTACTTTTTGTAACAAAATTTAGTAGTAAAACATGCCATTAAAAAAAGAAGAATAAAAATGTGGTTGTCTGTAACTGTACAATACCATGAACATTGTCACGAGGGATTTTAGTGTGACACTATTGAACATTATCCTAAATAATTGGGATCTTAAGAAACATATCAGTAATGAGAAACTTCATCATGTGGTAAGGCATTTCTGTAAATGAAGGTTGTGTATAGATAGCGCATTAACAAAGTCTAGGTACTCACTAGGTATGACTGTAACAAACTAGCTACTGTCTTACCAAGCCGGAAGGACATAATCCATCTGACGTTTACTGACAGAAACCTTCCAATGTCTCTTACTATTCTCAAGAGAAATTTGATTTTGTTTGCTAATGGGGAAACGAGGTTCCCATCTTAATTCTGAATAAGAAGGCACAGAGGTCCCTGGGAGACTGTGATGCACCAGGAGAAATAATTTGTAAAATTGCCACAAAATAAGGGAAAATGGAGAAAGAGGAAGAGTACTTCAGTTGCTGAAAGGAGAAAATCACTTCTCGATGGGTGGCGATACCATTGGACTGGGAGAGAAGGTTTGTGGTACACTGCACAGATGGTGATCGTGGGTCACAGGTATGTGGGTCACAGTTACGTGCTGTGCATCTAAGGAGATCTCAAGACACGGTGCTGAACATGTTCAGCAGGACGAAAATGCAACTGAGGAAATGGGCATCCTTAACCTGACGCCTACACAGATCAAAGTAGCACAGGGCACCCCGTAAATATTCACATATTTGCTTTTATAAATCAGCTAATGAACTGAAATTAAAACTTAAAGGTCAAAAAATAATGTCTTGACTTGACTTGCAGAACACTGCAAACACAGTCTTGTAGGAATTCAATTCCTTTCTTTTGATCTTCCTTCTGTGGCTGCGCTGACTTGGAGCACTGACTTTACCTGGAATTCTAGAGGTGTCTACAGTGTTACCCTAATGTCTGTGTGAAGCCTTCTGTGTTCTAGCCCTGGAAGCATGCTGGTAATCACTTTACAACCGCCACTTTTCAAAATATTTTTGGATAACCTTTCCATTTAGGATCTTGGAATTTGAATAAAACCATGGAAGTTACATTGCCTTTGAACTAAGGGCTTTTAGTTTGTGGAATTTCCTTTAAGTGGAAAGAAATATAAGTCTGTGGTTTTACTGTTTTCCCAGGTTTAGTATTTTCCCAGTTTTACACAATAGTACTTATTTGTTTTCATTTCCAAAGGTGGAAAGTTTGTCGTTAATTTATATATTGTAGAAGGGCTGACTAATTTTATCTTTTTCCTTCTTTTTTTGCTTTTCAGTTGAAAGAGACAGGGATTTCTCTCACCAGCGAAGGCACTATAAAGAATTTAGGTTTGATCTGACTCAAATTCCTCATGGAGAAGCAGTCACAGCAGCTGAATTCCGGATATACAAAGACAAGAGCAACAGTCGATTTGAAAATGAAACGATTAAGATTAGCATATATCAGATCATCAAAGAATACACGAACAGGTATCAACTTTATATCTCTCTTATTTTCTGGAAAACAAATGTCAGAGTTTATTAATGAGAATCCCTGTTGATCTACCAAATCTGTTTTCTTTGGGGTAATAACATTCAGCCCCAGGTCCAGATACACTGAAATGTAAGAATGATTGATCTGAAAACTTCCATGTTTCACAAATTTTCTCTATTCTTCAATCTGTGGACTAAATGGTCTCAGGCATCTCTATATAAGTTTTCTAGTCTCATTTTGTAACTTTGTCCATCATTCTACAAAACTTTCATTTTGCTCTTCCTCCATGGTGCTGGTTTGTTTTGTTTTGTTTTTTCCATATTAGCAATCAGACCCAGGGTCTTTGGGATGTGAGGCAAGATCCCTGAGACTCAGTCTGCTTAACTTGCCCATGCTGGTTTTAAATGTATAATACTCTTGCCTCAGTCTTCCTATGGACTGGGATTATGGATGTATACCACTATTCCTGGCACCACGTGGGATTTTTAACTAGGATGACATAAATCATTTGGTTTCCTTTAAGTTAAAGAAAATCTGCTTTACTTTCCATTGACATAAGTGTAAATTATATTTGCAATTTTAATGTAAGCTCCTTCTCTCTGCAACAGGTTCTGATAGTCAACCAGTATGCATGCTGTCCAAAACTGGTTAAAAACTGAACAAAAATGGATTGTCTAAAATACTAAGTGTGTAAACACTTAATTGATAATTACTGCAAAGAGTCATCAAATATAAGCATTAAAAAGGGACCTTATAGGTGTTCTCTGACATTTAAAAAAAGGCAGAAATCTTCAGTGTGACAACTTTTATGGATGTCTACTAGTCTTTGTTGGCTAGCTCACACACACACACAGACACACACACACACACACATTTAGATATCAATATGCATATTTGGAGTTTAAGTTTAATATATACCTAAATTCCAGTTGAAATCATATGTTAAGATGATGTCTTTCTTTCATTACTGGAACAAAATATCCACTATCCGAAATTAAGGAAAGAAAAGTGTATTTAGCTTACAGTTTTTGGAGGTTTCAGTTCATAATCAGCTGACTTCAAGGCAGGTGGTATGGCACTGGGGCAACATTTCAAGGCAGCAGCCAGAGCAGCTTTATATTGTACACAGGACACCCCTCTCCCCCAAGGCAGTGTAACACTCACAAAATCTCTGAGCCCTCCTCTTGCACAGGATGAGGATATTTACAAAGTAAGGATCCTGGTTCCCTGCTGAGTCTCTCAGTTAAACTTCTAAACTTCTCAAATTGACACTGTATCAACCACAACAGATGACATTTATTTTTCAGCAGCTTGCAGCCATCAAATCTGGATCTTTCTTTTGGTGTATTACTTTATCTTTCTTTTTTTTTTTTTTTTTTTTTTTTTTTTTTTGTCTTTTTCCTTTTTATCGGTACCGGGGATCGAACTCACGACTGCCTGCTTGCAAGGCAGGCACTTATGCCGCTGAGCTAAATCCCCAGCCCCTACTTTATCTTTCTTTGATGATACCAATATTTTCTTTGGCTATCTTGTTCCCTCTAGTGTTTTTTTGTTTTTTTTTTTTTTTTTATCTTCTTGCCACAATAGAAAAGCCTTTCTTAGCTGGCCTGGGTGGTAATGCCTGTAATCTCAGCATCTTAGGAAGCCAAGACAGGACAATTGCAAGTTCAAGCCAAGCCTGGTTAGCTTAGTGACCTAATGAGACCCTGTCTCAATGTAAAAGCACAACAAAGAACTGGGGATGCTACTCAGTAAAAAGCCTTTAAATTCAATACCTAATGCAAATGAAAAGAAAAGAAAAAAAGGAAAAGAACCTTACTATCTTGATGTATTATATCCCTATCATAGATAAGGCAGATAAACAGCACTGTTGAATGTGCCTGACCTTTTTGCCCCCTGGCTGGTGAATCACATGAGAATAAGGGTCTGTGGCACATTGTAACCACCCAAAGGGTGGGATGTAAGTGACAGCCATTTACCCAATGGCATAGTATATGGAAACCTTTTTCTCATAATTTAGTTTCATATCAAGAGCATCTCTTTTTTTTTTTTTTTTTTTTTTTTTTTGTCTTTTTTGTTTTTATCAGTACCAGGGATCAAACTCACGACTGCCTGCTTGCAAGGCAGGCTCTTATGCCGCTGAGCTAAATCCCCAGCTCAAGAGCATCTCTTAATGAAATCTTATTGGTTTACTCACAGAAAACTTAGCCTTTTGACTATGACGATGTAAACATATCAGAAAATATGTTTAGAGATATTTATTGGAGTTTGTCTTCCATAAGGTTATGGAAATGGTTGGTTTCCTATTAGTAAACAATGATTAGAAGAAAATATTCCCAGGTAGCTTCTCTTAATTCACCAAGGGGAGTCCTGTCAAATAATTTTCTTAACCCCAAAGTCCCCATTTAATTATTTTTTAAAAATTTGGTGACCTACGTGAACCAGATCAGTTCAGATACTTTCCAAGATTCTTTATGGCCCTGGCCACAACAAGGACTTGTTTGCAACCTTTATTTGCATTCTCAAATGCCAACTGAAGCATAATTCCTGCTGCTTATGTATGAGGGATCATCCTGTTTGCAGATGGCCTCCTGTAACTCAGCAAGGAACTGAGCATAAGGCTTTTGAGACTCCTGAAAGATTTGCAAAAAGGACTGAACTGGAGGACCCTCTTTGGAAATCACAGCCCACACTTGATTCATCATCAAATGTATCTGTTCACACACTGCATTAGGATAAATCAATTTTTGGGCAAGGTCTACATAAGGTTCTGTTCCCAGCAGCTTATCCTCTGTGATCTGGTCTTCCAGGTTCCCTATTTTAACTTTCCTGTTCTAGGTGAGCTCTTATAGCTACATATTTAAATAGAGATGTTGACCTGCTAATATACAGGAACAGGAAAGATGTTTAATATCTTGTGGGACCATATGCAGAGCTCCCAAAATGGGCTTCAGGAGTCTCAATACTAAATGATCTCTATGCTCCATTATTCATTACAATCCGTTTTAACTGTTTCAAAATTTTATACTCTGTCCCCTGATGTTCAAATATCACTCATGAGGATTATTTGCATCCTGCTAGTATTAATAGGGAACCAACAGTGTCCAATGGGGTCCCCAGTCAGCACAGCTTGATGAATAAGTTGCTGGTACTTAGATGAGCAAAGATGACCCGTGTTAGCCTCTGGAGATGCAGGCCAGGAAAGAGTCTCTCTACCTTCTCAAGGGTCTTTTCCCTTTTTCTCTTCAAGGGGAGCAGTAGCAGTTGTGGCACCTGTTGCAGCACACAGAGGTACCAATACGAATTTCACCAAACTCCATGTTGAAAGGGGGTCTGGGTCAGTTTGATTTCCCCTAGCATGAACCCCTCTCAAATCCTATATCCTGTTCTATCGCAATTCTCCGCATTCAAAGATACTCCCTCTGGGAATCAACAGATTATGCTTAGTAATACCTTGTAGCATTTTTGAAAGAAACTCTTACTGACCTGGACGCCAGCCTTTTTCAGTAATATACATGATAACTTTCTTCCTTTAACAAATTCTGCCCCATCATTCTGGTTAGAAAAGCTTTTTCATGGCATTAGTATTTTCTTTCATTTCTATTTGGCCAACTCCAAAACTCTCCCACAGAATTCCCCAATGTCTGTGTCACTGTTTTCCACTTTGGTTGGTCTATGCCTCCAAGTCTCAGGTCTCTGTTCAGGCTCCAGTTGCCAGGGATGGGTCAGTACTCTCAGATATCTGAGGGAGGAATGATGGGGAATAAAGGAAAATAAAAGGTAATATTTAAAGTACAAGGGGATAGTGAGCAACCTGCTTATAGTAGACAGCAATCTCTGTAGTCGACCCATTTTTATTAGCAAGCAAAGAGCACAAGGGAGATTGTAGCATATTTTTCATGGAACAGTACAAGAGAAACAAAAGAATGGAGAACAGCTTCTTCTCCATATCAGTATGCCTGCATTCTTTACATTGTGTTCAGTGGATGTTATCTTGTCTTAGGAGTGCTGTGGTCCTGAGCCTTCTCTGTGTGGCAGAAAATGTGGCAGGTTTCTGCATGCTTCTCAATTCCTAAAGCAGGTCACGCTGGCCTCAGAGTCACAGGACCCCAGACATGTAACCTGTAGGTAAAACATTATCTCATATCTGCTGGTCTCCAACAGGAGCACAAACCCTATTATGAAGTGCTTATGCAAGGGGTGTAGGCTGCACATTCTTTTGAATAATCTCTAAATCATGCCTCCTGTCCCACTAATTCTGTGGAAACCAGTCCCTGGAGCCAAAACGGTTGGCGCTGCTGTTCTAGTGTGTGGAATTTTCCAATGGGAGTTTCGTAGAACTGCAGCCCCTCACAATACACAGTGAAGATAAAAAGTTTCTGAGATCAACTAGGTTTGAAAAGCCTACTAATAGATCATCCTCTAGGAAGTTCAAAGTGCAAATAGAATATTTCCACCTATTATTGCTAGACAGGATGCAAATAATCCCCAATGAGTGATACTTGAACATCAGGGGATAGAATGTAAGATTTTGAAAGAGTTAAAACAGATTGTAATGAATACTTTTCGTATCTATGTCCACTTACTCTTCTAGTGTCTTGTACAGTTTGCCTGTTTCCACTTATTTTAACATATGCTGAAATTTGTTCTTTGATCCCAGAATTCACTGATATTTTTCTCTATTATTTGAATTGATTTATAAAACTTAGGAATGTGTACGATTTTGCTTGATATTTTCTTGCATTGATATTCTTAAGTCAGCTTTTATGTAATTTATTGAGTAGTATTTTAAAAACTTCTATTTGGTAAGCTGAAATTCAATTCTATCAAGTTTATAGTTTTGAACATCTAATATTAAGCACTTTGATGTATCGTGATTTTTATCTTCTAAAGTTATATTATAGATTGTTCTCTGTGATTTTTTGCTAATAATGTTTTTAAGATTTTTTTCAGAGTTAACTCTGCCGATCTCTGGAACACTCATGCTCATGTGTAT